GCGGGCTGAGAGTCCCAGTTGGATTCTGGTCCAGAGCACGTAGCTGGGTTTCAGGCTCAATTCCCGGCCTGGCTGGTCAGCGCAGTGCAGGAGATGACCTACTATGTGATTCTTGCACATGGATTTTTCTCTCTCTCTTCCCCTCCCACTCTCCTCAAAAATCAATGGGAACATATCCTTGGCTGAGGATTAACAAAAAAAGGGGGGTGAGGGTGAGGGAGTCATTAAAAATAAGCATTTGAAAAGATGCTCCACATCTTTGTCACCAGGGAAATGCAAATCAACATAAAACCACAAAGAGAAAATACTACACCCGTTACAATGGTTACAATGGAAAAGATTTGACCAGGTCAACTGTTGGCAAGGCGTGTGGCTCTCAGACTCTGCTGGTGGGGATGTAAAATAGTATAGGGTGTCCCAAAATTCACGCAAGATTTGAATTTTGCGTGAGCATTAACAACAACAACTACAAATAAAAGCCTAATTTTACTTGGTTTATAGAATCAGATTCTAATATCTGTTGCCCTTTAATTTCAATCCCTTCAATTTGATAAGCATCACCAAGTACCAATGATGGCCCAGGAGCAGGGACAATGAAGACCAATGAAAACCACAGCCTTGCCGAAGCTGGTTTGGCTCAGTGGATAGAGTGTCGGCCTGTGGACTGAAAGGTCATAGGTTCGATTCCGGTCAGGGGCATGTACCTGGGTTGCGGCTGATCGATGTTTCTCTCTCATTGATGTTTCTAACTATCTCTCTCCCTTCCTCTCTGTAAAATATCAATAAAATATATTTTAAAAAAGAAAACCACAGCTTTGTGTATGTGCCAGCAAAGCGGTGGAGGCCATTTACCCGATGTGCTATTCCATACATAACCCTATACTGTATACTTTATGAATCAATAAAAAATTACAATTTTTAATTACAAACCTGTGTTTTCTATCAAAATTACTTCTTGCGTGGATTTTGGGACATGCTATATGAGCACTTTGTAAAACAATTGGGCAGTCTTTTTAAAAGCTAAGTAAGCACTTACCATACAGTTAAAACGTTCCGCTCCCGAATATTGACCCCAGCGAAACGATAGCATGTTTCTGTGCGAAGACCTGCACACCAATGTCCATGTCGTCTTGTTCGAAATGACCAAAAACCGGAAGCAAGCCAAATGCCCCTCAGGAAGTGAGTGGATACACCGATTGTGGTAAACCCGTACAACAGAATACCACTAAGCAATAAGGTGAAATAAACGACGGGTCCACGCAACGTGATGAATTTCAAAATAATAACGCAAGTGAAAGAAGCCAAACAACAACGAAAAGGAATACTCACGGTATGCTCCCATTTATATAAAATGGTAGAAAGTGCAAACTAAAGTGACAGAACAGAGATCAATGGTTGCCTGGGAAGGGGTAGAGGGAGGGTGGGAAGGAGGAATGGCCGGTGTGGCTCAGTGGTTGAGCAGCAATCTATGAACCAGGGGGTCATGGTTCAATTCCCAGTCAGGGCACATGCCCAAGTTGCGGGCTCGGTCCCCAGTGGGGCGTGTGCAGGAGGCAGCCAATCAGTGATTCTCCCTCATCATTGATGTTTCTATCTCTCTGTCCCTCTCCCTTCCTCTCTGAAATCAATAAAATAATTTTTTAAAGTAAAATGGGGGTGGGGGGAATGCCCACAATACAAAAAGATATTTTACAAAAACAAAACAAAAAAGGGGGTGGGGGCATGAGGAAACAAACATTTGGGAGTAACATGTCCATTATCTTGAGTGTAGTAACAATTTCAGGGGTGTACATATGTCATAATGTTGCAAAAGACCAAAGAAATACCAAGCCCGCTTCCTAGAGAAAGGGAGGGACCCTGTTCATTAACACTAGTGGACTCTGGGAATAATTTCCAAATCCGAGTGAGTAACACGCAGAGAGCCTGTCTATATATATCCCGCTGGGGTCTTTGTCTTGCAGATATGGTTCCGCCCCCTTGTGGGCTTACAGGAAGGCCCCTGGTGTTGGGGGTCCCCAGGCCATATCCGATGATCTGTCCTGGGGCCAGCGATAACGACCTCCCCCGCCCAGGGCAGTGCATTGTTCGCAGTTTTTATGGCCTGACACGCCTTGCAAGACCAGTTTCCTCCTCAATAAAACATGAAATTATACACTTCAACTACGTGTAGTTTATCATACATCAATTATACCCAATAAAGCTGTAGATTTTTGTTTGCAAGTGGGTAACCAGCTTTCCCGCTTCCTCTGATGGATCAGACAAAAGCTTAGAATGACCAGAACATGGAAAGAAAGTAAATACAGCCCAGACTCTCCTCCTCCTAGGAACACACAGAAAAGAAAAAGATGACGGGGCAAGGGAAGAGAATATCTAATGATTTCCTATTCTCTCTTCTAACTCTTGTCCTAAGGACCACAGTCCTTCCTCCAGATGGTCAGAGACCAGAGAAAGGACATTTCCTGCTTTAAAAACATCTACCCTGTGCCTCATAATGCTGCCTTTCCACTCCACCTATAGTCAGCAGGTGGCGCTGGTGACTAAAAAGAAGTATTCGGGATGAGGAAGGTCTCCAGGAAAAAGAAAATTAATTTCTCAGGTTAACTGACATGTTGCCCATTTGAGAGAAAATATTAATAAGCATTTGGCAGAATTGTAATTTCAGAAATAAATGGAAGATAGGTGCATAGTACACTAGGTAAATTGTTTAAATCATTATAACTTCACAACGAACAGAGTTGTTCAAGACATGAAACAATCAAAATACACTAGTTGGCTCCACATTTACACAGTGATAATAATGTAAACAGACCTAGCCAGTTGCTCAGTGTGTAGAGCGTTGGCCTGTGGACTAAAGGGTCCCGGGTTCAATTCTGGTCAAGGGCACATTCCCAGGTTTGTAGGCTCTATCCTCAGTGGGGGGCATACAGGAGGCAGACAATCAATGATTCTCTCTCATCATTGATGTTTCTCTCTCTCTCTCTCCCTCTCCCTTCCTCTCCAAAATGAATAAAAATGTATTAGAAATAATAATAATAATAATGTAATACTGTCCATTGATGTAGCCAAAATTGTGATATAACTCTATTGGAAGGATGAGGTAAAAGAAAAGGGAAGGTAGGTATACAATGGGATGTAAAATGCTTAAAATTTCAATTACTGTAACAAAAATAGAGTAGGTATGTCTAATGTTTCTAAATTAAGAAATAAAAGAAGAAACGTATAGTTTAGAAATATAAAGTAAATAACAGATTAAAAAGCTGAAATTTTTGAAAGAGATAATTCAGTAGAGAGACCTGAGATGTGCTACGTTTTGTGTATTAAATACTATATGATTTCAACCACATTATGTTTCCTTATGTTGATTTTTCAAAGAGAGGGTATTTCCATCTTAGCCAGTCCTGAGCCTTCTCCCGTAACTTCTCAAACTTGTGGGCACCGCAACCACTTCCCACATCCACCCAACTCCTCCCTACCCTCCTCACGTACTTCATGGCAAGCTCCTTCCCACGTTTTTTCTCAAGGAAAGAGGAGAGTCCAGTAGGTACAGTTCTCAAACCCAGTGCCAAAAAGCTGCGCCAGCACGAAGGGGGAACAGAAGACAGGACATTAGCAAATAAAAGTCCTTCCTTCACTTTCCTGCTGCTCCCAAACCAAATTATTCATCATCCTCCTGACCCTTAATAGGAAGGAATAAGTTAAATATGTTTCCGGAGATAAAATTTGTGTTTGAATAGAGGGTGGATTTTAAGAAAGAGAAAGAGAAATCAGAAAGGAAAACTAGATTCTGCCGCCACTATGAGCTATTTTGGAATCATTCTTTGCTATTGGTTCAAAGAACAAATAATTTTAATATCAAGAGGTTTTTGTAGTTTTTTTAAAAAATATATTTTTATTGATTTCAGAGAGAAAATGATGCAGGCCCCCCACTAGGGATGCAGCCAACAAGCAGGGCATGTGCCCTGACCAGAATTGAACCATGACCTCCTGGTTCATAGGTCAACACTCAATCACTGTACCACACCGGCCTGGCTATCAAGGGTTTTGTATAGTCAGTCTTGAAACAGCACTGTTCTTCTACTCATACCTCTAAGACACTAGCTAACTCAGATTTTTTAAAAACGAATCGGCCTCTTCATTTTGCCCTGCGACTCCACCTCATCCCAGCCAGCAACTGAGAGCCCCGTTGCTAAAACTATAGCAACTGAAACGGAAAATGTCCTGCCATAATTTTATTTTCTCTTTGTGAAGGTCACTGACCTTCATCTACCACAACCAAGCCTGCAGCCAGGGAGGAATGCCATCAGCACAGGAGAAGCAGCCAAAACCAGGACGGGGGGCAATGGCCTGGGCTGGGTGAGCAATCCTATGGGTTACCGTTTGCCCTTCTTTAGAACTTTTGAAGCACCTAAGCTGTGCCACGCCAGCACGACCAAGGGTGATCCCCAGTGGGAGGGTGAAAGGATTAAGGAAAGACAGACAAGAGAATGAAAGCTGGGTCTCGGTGGGACGCTGCCTCCCTGATGAGGAGAAAACAACGGCGCCCGCAAGCCATGTCTTTATTTTATAGCAGATGCCACGAGGCAAAGTAGGGGCGTGATCACGCTGTTTACAGCATTCTCCTGAGTCTCTACCTCACTCAACTACATGCACCCGAACTCTATCACAAGGCACGTGGGGCTACGTGTTCGGACCATAGGTTCAAGCTTACAACCACAGCCGTTGGCTATAATTGTGCTGAGAGAGCCCTGCCCTCCAGCTGGGATTTGCACGTGGCAATGAGAGGACCCTGTCCTTTCATTAGTCCGAGGCTTGAACCTGGCCAAAACACCGTAAACACGCCCCACACTAAACTATGCCAGGCCATGAGACAACATGGTTCCTATCTTTGGGGAGCTCAGTTTAGTGGGAAGGAATAGTCAGATAACATAATTACAAGATAAACCATCAATATGCATAACATATAGCCCTGCCGGTTTGGCTCAGTGGATAGAGCATCAGCCTGCAAACTGAAGGGTCCCGGGTTCGATTCTGGTCAAGAGCAGGTACCTCGGTGCAGGCTCAACCCAGAGGGCAACCAATCGATGTTTCTCTGTCTCTCCCCCTCCCTTCTACTCTCTCGAAAAATCAATTGAAAAATGTCCTAAAAATATCCTCAGGTGAGGATTAAATACACACACACACACACACACACACACACGCATATATAAGCAAAACATATAGAAGCATGTCCAACATGCTGTAGGAATACAAAGGTGACAATTAAGTCTAAACAGAAGATGACTTAAAAAAATCAAAGTAGAAAGATCTTTGAACCATATCAATCAGATGAATTTTGTCCTAAGTTGTGTGAACTTGGGCAAGTCTTTTGAACTCTCCGAATCGCAATATACACTCTACAAAACATCTGCGGCCTGTCTAGTGAGAGTCAATTGCTTGTGCAATTTCTTTCTTTTTTAAAAAATTGATTTTAGAGAGGGAGGGAGGGGGAGAGACATTGATGGGCTGCCTCCTGTATGTGGGATCAAACCCACGACCTTCAGATGCAGCGGATCCCTCGCGGCCAGGTTTGGGCAGGTCTTTATAACACACTGCACAGTTGTCTCTGTGTTCACTATACATGTTATTAACAGAAGAAGCATTGTTAACTCTCAGTCTGGATAAAAAACAGAACAACTTTTAGCATGTGGCTTCCTCTCTCAGTCATGAACACCATGTTCCTGTCTCTGCTTCTTTTTCTCACGATCAAAGAATCATCTTCGCCGCTCAGGGAGCCGTTGGGGTCAAGTCTCAAGGCTCCGAAAAGCATCTGTGTTTTTGAGACAATTCTTTGACTAAGGATCTTGACAGTACATTCACTTGCCCACTGGGTGGCAGGGCTGAGCCAACTGCATTATTGAATTGTGTAAGAAAGAAAAAAATTCTCAGAAAAGGGGAAGTTGGGTTAAGCACGCAATGTCCTGTCTCCCTCGTGCTTATAAACATGAACACCGTCCAATTTTCCCCTCACGGGAAAACAAACCCTCACCCCTCACCGCCTTGCCACCCTCGCTCTGCTACACAATTGGACCGGGGCCTCTAAGGAGAGACCGGTTATGTATGTGACAGTGGAACAGAAGGAACTGAGGTTGAGGTTTAAAAGCAACAATACCAGGTTCTGCATGAGTGCACACTGTGTGGGAGGCGGTCAGACGCATGTGAGCAGAGCCAGGACGATGGGCCGGGCAGAGAACCCTGGGAGTCTAGCAGAGGACAATTGCAGGGTGGGGCCTCCCCTCCAGGGTGACCTTTGCTCCCCTAGCATACGGCTGGCCTGTGGTTTGGACCCCCAGACCTTTCCTCCCTAGGGTAACATTTAGGCCTCAGTTGTACTTCAGCTCCAGGCCCAGAAAAGCAACAAAACCAGAGAAGCAACCGCAAGGCTGCCCTCAGGCCCAGCTGCAGTGGATAAAGATCTGCTGGCGCCCGCCCGCCCATCCAGCCCAACGCAGAGGACACACCTGGAAAGCTGCTGAATAGGCTATTGGGGTCTTCCCCTGGGACCGCCCTAAGCTTCCCGCCCCTAACCCTCAGGAGCCCAGCTGGTGTGGCTCAGTGGCTGAGCGTAGACCTGGGAAGCAGGAGGTCGTGGGTCCATTCCCTGTCAGGGCACGTGCCCCGGTGGTGGGCTTGGTCCCCTGTGGGACAGGCAGTCCTATCGATGGGTCGCTCTCATTATTCATGTTTCTCTCTCTCTCCCTCTCTCTTCCTTCCTCTCTGAAATCAATACATTAGCTTCCAGCTCCAAGGGCCCTTCCTGTACCTCTATAACTTGTATACTCAGCCCATTTCTTCTACAAGTTACTGCTTCCCCCTCTGTAATTTTATAAATAAGTGCTTTAGTCGTGGCTCTGAATTCTTTCCCAGCCAGAGCCCAAGTACCGAGGTTGCTGAGCCCAGATCCGGTCTGACCCCACGGGTCTAACACCAGGTGCCCTTCCTGCCACCCACAGCAGTTCTAGTCCAGAGCCACACCCCTATCGATTCAACGTATATGTAATAACAATTGTACTCTATGAAATGTACTCTGCTAGGTGCTATGAAGAAGACAAGGATCTTTTAAAAGGACATAGTTCCTTCTCTCTAGGAATTCATTATCTGAGAGAAATGAAATTTACATGCAAGTTCCATGCGAGAAATATAAACAAGATGCTATGGAATCCCCAGAAGGGAATGAAATCCACTTGGTTACAAGGCAAAAGACGAGGGGATCGGGAATCAAGAAAGATTTCAGAAAGGAACAGTCGTTTGGCTGTCCACCAAGAAGCAGAGACGGGAGGAGGGCCCCGCATTCCAGGTAGAGAGGAAAGCATAAACAAAGGCAGAGAAAGATGTATTGGAGGAACAGTGCGTACTCAGGTTTGGCTGAGGTATCGGGTACATGCAAAGGAAGTAGAGAGAAATGAGACTGAACGTTTGGCTGTGGCCAATTTGTGAAGGCTTTTCATGGCAAGTCAAAGCATGTGAAGTTGACTCAGTTAAACAGTGGGTTTGGGAGTCTCACGGGAACAGACAGAAACTCAACTGTGATAGATGTAGTCAAGGTCTATAGATTATAACGTAAAGATCAGTGAAAAGCTATTAAAATAATCTAGGCAAAAGTAACAAGGACACGAATCAGAGTGGTGGAATAAGAGATAATTCTACCCCTGACTGGTTTGGCTCAGTGGATAGAGCGTCAGCCTGTGGACTGAAAGGTCCCAGGTTCGATTCCGGTCAAGGGCATGTACCTTGGTTGGGGGCACATCCCCAGTGGGGAGTGTG